CCCTTCTTGTAAGCATAATTACTGTTTGCCATGTGACAGGCTCATTAATATCAACTCTGGCATCAAACAAAGGCTTCAGAGTGCACTGCACAGCCAACCTGTTCAAAACGTGACAGCTCCCAGCTTGGCATCCTAATGAATTTCTGCATTTACATTTTAAACAACAGAAACTCCCACAATAACTGCTTTTTTTATCCACTGACAAGTCTGCTCACTTCAGCGCATGAAAAAACACACATATGTTACGTTACTTGAAGCAGGCTGAAATGAGCTGAAAGACATGCAACTGAACTGCACAAATGGAAATGATTTGAGAAGAGATGATAAGAAATTTAATCTATGTAAACTGTCATTGTTAACACTGCTAAACCCAAATCTTAGCCTCAAATAGAAAAAAAAAACTACAGGGAGTGAATTGAAGAGTAAGCATTCTCTATTTAAAGACTTAAAAATAAGCACAGTGTGTGAATGTCTGGGCAAAGTCCAAGCGCTTGAACTAAGCAGCAGCTAATGAGAAGAGCTCATTAAAACTGTGTGTGCAGGACAGGCAAAGGAAAGATGAAATGTGTTTAATGAATTCTTGCTTTTCTTTTGTTCCTATCATCTTCCCTCCAATGGCATCCTGCTTAAGCCACCTCCAGTTGCTAAATGGCCAATTAAAAACATGTTCTTGAAGTATTAAGCTTCAACACACTATGGCACGGGTGATGATGACTCTTTTGCGCTTTTGAAAAACAATTGCCTTTTTTTATTTGCATGATAAGATTTTGTTGGGTGGGATTTGGTTGACACTTCTGTTCACTTCCTGAAGTTTTTGACTTCAGTAAATGTTGAACCTTTTCACTTTCTTTTCAGTTGCAGAAAGTACGTAACTGTAAAGGTTTTTTTGACATTTTAATTGGTATCATTCATCATATTTACAACAATAAATCATGCATCTTTTGTGAGAGACAGAGAAAGCGCACACCAGGAGACTGTATAATATAGTCCATCTGCCAGCCTATATGTGCGATCGGTGATCTGTAGTGTAGCTGATATTTTGAACTTGTATCTTTTGTATGTTCTCAGGAAATACACTGACACTATGTTTTAGACTTGTTCTGTTTACTCGAAAATACACAGAAGACAAGCGGCAAGCCGGTAACGTCAAGATGATGTGCGAACGACAAAGCAGTTGCTCGTACAGCTCGTACAGAACATGAGTTCGCTGACGGTGGGTGCGGGTGTTTTCGTCTCAGTCGGTGGCTCTGATCTACTTCCTTTGCTCTCTTGTTCTGACAGGTTGAGACAGAAAGAGAGAGCTGTCCTTTTTTCTGACATCAGCGCTCTTCCATTGGGCTCATTTGTTCAGTGGGATGTCAGCAATTGCGGTTGAGAGACTTAATGAGAAGCGAGGTTGAGAGAAGAAACAGAGCGATGGAATCTTTCATTCTTCAAGCATTCCCAAAAGACAAATTGCAAAAAAAACGTGCACTGAATAGGCCACAGTTACAGAGTATGTGCGTGTTGCGGAAGAGCATAGATGTTGCTTAATTTTGGCAGTAACAGTAGTTTTTTTTGTGGAAAAAATAAACCAATACAGAGCACAGACCAATAATTGGTTTCATAATAAAAGTAATAATTTAAAGTTATTTATGTTATTAAAAAAACAAATTATAACAAAATATTATTTCTAATAATACATTTTGTTTATTTTTTTTACTAAAACTATTATTTATATATGCTGCTAGTATAGTGCAAACCAATAACCAGTTTTTAATAATAATAATAATAATTATTATTATTATTATTAAATTCAAATACATTTTATCTTTTAATAAAGGTTTCTTGATGATCAGTTTATTTATTATGCCATTTATTGTATTTAAAAATATATATATTTATATTGATTTTTGTGAATACACAAAACATTTTATTTTTAGATTTTTTTCTTATACATTCGTTTGATGATCACAGTTTATATTAAATTTATTTATTTATTTTATAAAAAAATATTATTTATATTGTTTTTTATTATATTTTCTTATTTGTCTGAAAATCTGGGGGAAAAAATCAATTGATTCTGCATATTGGTTTTCGTTTACTTAAATAAACATAAAAATAACCGTTATCAGTGTTTTTTAAAAAGGCAACATGAATGAGCAAACTTAAAAAAAAAATAGAGTACAGCAATTACAGACTGCTTTGAGCGAGGAGGGGATATTGCTGTCTATAATCTATAAAAGATATTGGCCCAATGGCTACACCTCAGATCAATTCACCATGGCATAGTTAAAGCATCTGATCCTATTAGAGACCATAAAAAGAATTATCTAGTCTATGCACAGCACTTTAAAAAAAATCCAAATCTGCTTTAGGCATCTGGGAAATGGGTTCATTTTATTTCCACCATTGTTACAATAGAAGTGTGTCCCTCCATACACATCACACACCACTAAAAATGCACATAAGCTACAGTGCAAATTGATGCCTGCTGGTGTGCAAGAACATGGATATTTCATAGGCTGTATGAAAATAACACATTTACATTAATAATTAGCAGCAGCCTTTAACCTTCTCCAGAGAACAGAGGACTAGATTTTGAGTAATGAAGAGGTGTAAGGGGACACTAACACTTATCAATATCAATGCCTGTGGCACACATCGCTTTGATTTTAGGCTTTTGATTATCCGCTCTCAGACATACATCAATCTCATGGATCTGCTACTCGGCTAGTGGAGGGGTTTGAATCTCCAGAGACGTGGCAGTAATGGAGAAAACAGTGAATAAACAAAAGCTGTAGCTTATGTTACTCAGTGTAATGTCGAAGGTTCATGTAATGGGGAAGAGAGATTACAGAACGCTGTTGTCACTCCAGTCCACTCACATACTGTGTTCCAGTCCGTGGCACACAAAGCTTAATGCTATGATATTCTTGTTGGCAGATTAAATTTATTTATATATATATATATATATATATATATATGTGTGTGTGTATAAAAATTACAAACATTAAAGACAACATGTTTACAACATTTAAAAAAATATATATATAAATAATTTATATCATTACTGCAATAGTACCGATTAAAATATAATATTTAATTTGTATAAAGATATATGTATCTTTTATCTACTCACTATTAGAGTAATATAATATATATAAATCTAAAAATAGGTTAGATAAATAATTACAAGTAAAAATATAAAACTAAACAGTAAAATGATCAAATTCAGAACTGCAATAAACAGATTAAATAATATTCCAAACTCATTAACTTTGTAAAATATATCTCTATAGGACCCCTTTGCACCCCCCTTCTATATTACATTCATCAGTGTTAATTTAGTTGACGAATAATTTTCGTCATAATTTTCGTCAACGACATTTTTTTCACCGACGACAACGAACTAAAACTCTTTTTGAATAATCTGCTGCCTGGTTCGGAGGTTAGATGCGTACGTAGATATGAACCGGCGGGACAGAAGCTAACATACACTTGCTGCACGTCGCATAAAACGTTCAAAAATGTCAATATGTGGGAGTAAGAGAAGAGCAGACATATGGATAAATCTGACGACGCAAGAGAGAACTCAGTTAGGTCCGGTTTTCTGAGTGCAGACACCGAAGCATACACACACAGAAAGCACGTCTCACAGCGCACGAGTACTCTTTCACGTCGCATGAATGGAAAATTACACACAAAATGCTGTCGAATTGTCCGTTTTGCCGAGTATTCACGTAAACACAGTTGATTACGTTTTAAGTGAAAACTAAAACTCGACTAAAACTAGACTAAAACTAAAAACAACTCAGATGACTAAAATATGACTAAAACTAAATGGCATTTTAGTCAAAAGACTATGACTAAACCTAAATCAAAATTTGCTGTCAAAATTAACACTGCATTCATCTATACATTTAACAACTTATTTGAATAGGAAATTATGCACAGGTAGGAATGTAATGTCTGAAGTTGCAAAAACACAAGCATAACATTGCTATGTTTGCAAGAGAGAAATACTGTACAACAGAATCTCAGGTGTGGCAGGAAAAAAGATTAAAGGAGAATTCAAAGACAAAATTATGCGCTCACACTAACAATTGTGAGTGGCCTTGGTACGAAAGCATCTGTCGAGAACAGAAATGCAAATATAGGCGTGGTGAGGAATCACAAGGTATAATAATTTGCTTTCTGAAATCAATGTAGGGTTTGCAATCAGCCAGCTGGATTAAAACAGAAGTGTTTGTCTGAAAGAGGGTTGCCATCGCTGTGAAGCTTATGTGTGCACAGACAAAACAAACACTAATAACTGTACCCAAAATGGGCTATACATTTTTAAAGGGTAAACTCAGTTTGTATCGGGCCAGATATTTTACAACTATCACTCAGCCAGGTATTTAAGAACTCTAACCTGCAGTATTAACATCAATTACATTCTCCAGCGTGCCGGTGGGGAGTGTGAAACACAAGGAGAAGGGAGGAATACGCTCAAAGACTGATACAAGAAGAGCTGGAGGAAAAAGAACAGAGAGCGACTGGGCTTTTACGTCTTCTATAAATCAGATTACACACTCGCTTAGAACGGAAAGAAAGAGAGAGGCACATATTTTTTGATGGCCACAGCTCAGTAATCTGAAGTGCTGTCTAACTGAGCACCAGCTTGCTAATGAGAAGAAAACCACAAACAGAATATGCAAGCCAAGCTTTGAAATGAGAGGTTATATTTAGACAAGTAGGAGAGACTGCAATAACATGCTCACAGTCCTCGCTCAATATCTGTCCCTCGTCTGAGGAAGGATTTACTGGAGTATGCTTATCAGAGATGGAATTCTGTTTTAGACCTCCAAAGATACATATGATTCAGGCTCTGATTTAGGAGCAGTCGCCAAGCTAAACCAGCAATGTTTTAATAGAAATATTCAAAAATCTGAATGCATGTTATTGGACCTTATATTGACAAAAATGCAGAAGGCCACTGAAGCAGATACACTTTAGTCAGTTTTTGGCACACTAACCTTTTTGGTGAAGTCCATGGCTTTGAGAATGGCCAGGTTGAGTGTCTCTAGGGAGGCCAGAACACCTTCATAGTCCCCCATGTGGTTGGCAAAGTAGTCTAATGAACAGAGAAATGAGCCAGAACTGAATTAAGCGTTTTCTGAAAACTCACAAACAATATGGAAGAATGAAAACATTGAAAAATTAAACTGCCAACAAAATTGATCTAAAAATATTACAAAATAGAAATTGTACACTATCCGTTAACAGATATTAGAACTGAAACCAGGTTGAATGACTAGACCATAGACCTAGGTCCATATATTGTCTATCAGCAAATACTCTACACACATCTATTGAAATAAAAATATTTGTTTGCAAAGAAAATTCAATTCCTTGCCACTCTTAACACACAAACATACTGATACTCACCGCATAGTTCCTTGGTGTCAACATTACTAACACATCGCAGGAAAAGGGAAGCGTACAGAAAAAGAGAATAGAAGAAGCAGGAGAAGAAAGAGATAAAAAAACAAGTGAAAACCCAGCACAAATCAAATGCTACATCTGTGTCTTACAAGAGTGGTTATACAGAATCTCACTAAACTATCTATTTATATGGATCTTAAAGATAACACAACACAAAACTTAAATATATGTGATTTTTGAAACCAGTACCTCAGCAGACCTCGAAGTTACATGCTCCATCAAAATGAATTAATCAGCCAATTTGACACTGATCTGGAACTAATGAATGGAGAGATGCATATGTTGTTTTTTAGAGAGGTTTTTTTTTGTTGCTCAACCAATCAGAATATAGTCTGATTTTATATTATTTGAATGTTTTAAGTATTTTGTTTTTAACTCAAGTGTTACAAAATATGACGTTTTGTAATTTGTACTGATGCCAGACTTAATTGAATATGAATAATCATATATTTTAGGTTGAATTTATCAAGATCTAAACAAAAACAAAAAGGAGAAATAATTAAATGAGATGAAGTATTTAATAGACTGGATTATCCAAAAATAGGTCATAGAAAATGGTTATTTAAACACTTTTTTTATTCCTACAAAAATGACTTTTGCGATATATAATGTTACAAAAAGTACTCATACTGGCCATACTAGAAAAAAAAAGAGGAAAAAGAAAGAGAGAAGCAAGCTAAAAAACATTTTTTCCTACTGCCTGGTTGTTACCCTTTCCAGGCTTCATCCTATCCTCTCTCTATCTTTTTTTGCTATTGGACTTTTCATCTCTTACTTCTTTATACTTTCCCTTACTTGTTAAAATGGAAGTGCCATCGGCAAAGGGAAGCACAAAAAAGATATAAAGTATGACATTTACAGGTGCAGGGTGGGCACTGAGAGTGAACACGGCTAACAATCCTCTCTCCTTTCACTGGTACTGAGCTCTTGATGCCTGGCCTGTCAAATAAAGAGTACGTCCACCTCAGCGGAGGACAGAAGAGATGGGAAGACTGCTGTGTGTAAGACTGTCATGTGTTAATGTCATGAGTCTCTCTCTCTCTCTTAGCGGCCTATTCTATTCATACCCATTAGCATGGTGCTAGATAAGCTACTGATCAGATTCATCAGCGTGATTATTTTCCATCCAATATGTTGATGAAAGGATGGAGTCAACATTAAAACAAAATTGAGCCTATTTACTTTCTTGATCTCACTGTGAATGATTCATCTGTGCAATGTCTTTGTAATTTAATATACAGTTATAAAGAGCAGGATTTTGACCAAAGAGATTTCATAGTGGGCGGGCCTAAAATAATAAAATGTCCTGTTGCTCGTCATGGTCTCAACTGGTAAGAACAAAAAAAAAAACAGATTTCCATCATAGTCGCACCTGTTAAGAACGCTGTCAAATTGTGTGAATGTCAGCATGATATTCAGATAAATGGAAGACAAAAGATAAGGGGCTCATGTTTCATTTCAAATCTTCAACACAAGTGTAAATGAGAAACCAGCACAAAAAGGTGACATGCATAAAGCTCTCAATTTTCTTCTTCCGTTTGATCTTCACCACCTCAGCCTCTCTCAGCACCCCCCACCCCAGTGTCTTTTCCAGCCCTCCCCCCATCTCATCATCTAGCCCTCTTGTCTCCATCCTTTTCTCTGCCCCAGTCCTTATGGGCTCTGGTGGTTCATTATTTAGAGCAAAGGCTGTATTGGACCTGAAGAGGAGCGACCGCATCCTAGCAGCTGCAGACTTCCCCTCCTTTTTTACATAATTCATTCTGAAATGTGATTAAAGACAACACACACACACACACAACTGGAGCTGCTCTGCCTCCAGAGACCAGCTCACACACACCTATACACACAAACACTGAGAAACAGGGTGCGTGAAACACAGAGAACAGAAAGAGAGAGAGATCTGGCAGCAGATCGCTATAGATGAGACAGATGCAGTCATGATGACAGTAAGACACTTTCCAAACACAAAACGTTAAGCGAGACAGAGAGAGAAAGCGAGTAAAGCAATGTTATGTGCCAAGAGAAGCAGTTATTCTAAAGGGTCTAGTCCCATTACAGTTTAACCCCATCCCTTTATTATCCCTCATCAGTCACTGTCTTTCAGTTTTCCCCTTTTCTTACTGTTAATTATACATTATTATGTCCACCAAAATGAAATCTGCCCCATTTTTCTGCCTGGTTCTTAAGAAACCATTACCTATAATCAGGGGTTAAATTGGGAACCAAGATCTGAAGATCCTGGCTATATGGTTATATCGTCAAAAACTATATGCAGCGTTTTTTCCAACTACGCCCACTTTTATATCCCAGTGAGGGATTTTTATTACACATAACCAGACTTTCGATCTGAAAATGTGAATTTCTATCATAAAATTATTATTGTTAAAAAATATTTATAAAAATATGCTAAATATTGTAACATGCAGAAGTAATCATTTTTTAGAAATTCTATATCTATTGTGTGGAAAGAATTCGTGAGATATGTATTATTAATTATACAATATAATAAATATAGTATTTATTATTAATAAATATATTATATCTACTTAAAACAAATATTAAGTTTATTATTATTTGTCATTATATTTATTACATTTAAATATATTTTTTATGAATTATATTTTTGTGTAATTTCCAGATAAGCTGTAATTTTGTAAGAAAAAAAATCTTATTTAAATAAACTTGTGAAAATGAACATTCTCTACAATGAACATGTAGAGAAATGGATAATATGTCATGACATGAACTATTAAGATAATTCTAAATATAGCTTTAATGTTTTTACTGGAACATTTAACAACTTGACCAGGATGTACAAACACAAAATGAAACGAATTTACAAAGTTCCAATCAATTTAATATTATTATTTTTTTTATTCTGGACCAATCCCTGACAATTTAACTAATGTCATGTTGTTTCCTATTTTTATTGCCCCTCTGTTGTCCTGTATTGTGATTCACTGGATGTGTATTCAGTGCTGTGTGTCTGTAGAATCACCTGGTGTTATCAGAGTCAATGGTGTGAAACAGTTTTTCCAGCTCCTCTTCATTCAGAGTCCCATCAGAGAAGAAAGCCTGGAACTCATCAAGGGAGAGCTTTCCATCATCTGCAGGGGAAACAGAGATTTTAGCTGCATGCCTCATTCATTTTTAACACTCCAGACAGTACTGTGTATCAGCACCATGGGTATTTCTGTATCTACATCTTAACAGGCAGAACAGGCTGCCATCAGTCACAACATCACAAATACAATCAGTATAATCTGTCTAAAATTAAAATACAACTATATGTAGGTTCCATAGACTCACATGGGTCACGCTCCCTAATAACTGCGTGTGAACAAAGCATTCTTTATAATATGCACAGAAAATTGATGGGTTTAGGTGCGTTTCTTCTTAACCCTCGTTCTAATGTTGATGAATCCGTATTATTCTTAATGAGGGAACGAGAGCCCACGGTTAGTAATTAACATAATATACATGCCCAAACCAATTCCATCTATAGGTTTTCTGCACAATATCTTCTGTATAGCCATCACTCTTTGCAAGCATATACTTATTCAAGATCTTTGAGTAATCCTAGTGTGTCGTTCTTAATGCAGAATTGACACATAAGTAATTTTTATTACTAGTTATTCAGTTTACAAAACATACATATGGGGTCGATAAGATGTTTAAGCATTTTTTAAATTAGTCTTTTATGCACACCAAGACTGCTTTTATTTTGATCAAAAATACAGTAACAGGAATGTTATGAAATTTACAATTTAAAATATTTTAATGTAATTTTCTAATTTTAAAATGTAATTTATTCCAGTTATGCAAAGCTGAATTTTCAGCAGCCATTGCTTCAGTCTTCAGTGTCACATGATCCTTCAGAAATCATAATATGCTGATTTGCTGCTCAAGAAATATTTCTTATCAATGCTAACAGCTGTGCTGCTTAATATTTTTGTGGAAACTGGTAAATTTTTTCAGGATTGTTTCAGGATTGTTTGATTGAGGAAGTTCAAAAGAACACCATTTATAGGAAATAGAAATCTTTTGTAGTATTATACATTTTTATTAGATAAATTTAACGTGCCCCTGCTAAATAAAAATATTAATTTAAAAAAACCTTACTGGCTTTTTTTAAGCATCACCAGTGATGAGAGACAGGAGGCTACTATAGGAGAATATACTGTAGTGGCTTCCTCTATGGGGAAGGGTCAAGACTGGTGAGAAAAGGGGGATGTTACAAATAGGAGTCTCAGCTGCAGTCAATGCTGGGAGAAATGAAATATTCATCACCCTGGATTCGTCCTTGAAGTTAGACCTGCGCTTACTGGACAAACTACAGCCGAAATACAATATGAAAGTAAGTGCAGCCAATCAGTGGTTCCAAAGCAACTATTGGATTGTAGTTTCTAAATTCAAAAGCTTGTACTGGAAATGAGAACCACTTATGGCTTGTCAATGCAGTTCTACACCTCCAACACACGGCCATGTATTTATACATGACCTTTATCCATTCTGCTCTTTATAGAAAAACACCCTACCATATCTGTGCATTTGTGTTTTTTTTCTACCTTTATAATATTCTCATCCTTTCTCTGTCACTATCACAGTTAGAAAGTGAAGGTGGAAGGGAAGCAAAATCAAAAGCAGATCTTTCTCTGAACCATAGCTTATATATGGAGTGTGTGTTTCCGTCTTTCCCCATCTCTATGCAAGGCTGAGGAGCACGGGGAACCCAGCCCTTAACTAGGCAGTGACCCACTTTTCTTCTCTTTCTCTCAGGAAGGAGTGCTTGCTCAGGAAACAGACATTTACTTGCCCAATTTCCACGTTCAGCATTGTGCTCTAGTGACAGCTGATGTGTAACAGTAACATTACCTCTGTAATATAACTTAATGAGTCAATAAACCTCTCTGCACTGGGTTAAGTTGGCTAATTTATCTCATACAACCAGCATTTTATGTCAATGATCATTGTTTGCATGATGCTGTTTAGAATTAATGATTTTTATCTTCTTGCAGAGCTATTTAAGAGAGTGAACAGTCCTGCTGTGCAATTACCTCAAAATTGCTGTACTCACCTAAACTGGTGGGCTATTATAATGCAATTATTATATTATTATTATACAATTTAAACTATAACTATTATCTATTTTAAAATGTTTTTTTTTCTGTGATGGCAAAGCTACATTTTCAGCAGCCATTACTCCAGTATTCAGTTTCATACTATCCTTTAGAAATAATGAAATAATTGTAATATGCTGATTTGGTGCTTCAGAAACCTTTTCTATTATTATCAATGCTAAAAACAGTTGTGCTGCTTAATAATTTGTGGAAACCATGATATATTTTTTCAGGATTCTTTGATGAATATAAATTAGAATTTTTTGAAATTTTGAAATAGAACATAATTTAAACAAAAATCTTTTGTAACATTATAAATATCTTCAATGTCACTTTTGATTTAGTGCTTTTAATTTAACGCATGCCTGCCAAATATATATATTTAATACAGTATATATATATATATCTTTTTTTATATATATACAGTAAAAAAATCTACACACACTAGTCAGCTGATTAACAGAAATGCTTTATCTTTCTAGATAGCATAAACTGTCTTTCAGTGGGACTAAAGAGTGCAAGGTTTCATTTGATGAGAGAAAAACAAACAGGCAACTCGAATGTTGCCCTGTCTTGGGAGCAGAGTAAGCAACTGATCAGACGGGTTTGGGGAGGTGGAAATGGACCAAGAGGTGAAGTTTAGTTAATGTGTGTAGGAAGGCAAGTGTCTGCAGGGACTGGACACTGTCACAGACCTCGCTACTTCCTATGAAAGAGAGGCAATTAGCACTTTTCACAACCAATGGCCCCAGCACATCTTAGCACCTCCTTACAAACACGTCTCTTCCTATCTCACATCTCTCGCAACTCACACCGCGTTTCGGGGAGAACTGGGGTACATGTTGCCATGGTAACAAAAAAAGAACAGGAGCAGATCTTTGGGATCGGAGATGTCTTAATCGTACATACGCTCGCTCTCATTTTTTCTCTTTCATTCTGTTTGTCTCCTTCCCTTGCCTGCCCTCTCTTATGTTCCACACCAGCGACATTTGGTTGTCTTCTGTAATCATATTCAAATTATTGACCAATTAAATGAAACAAAATTAATTTAATGATAAAATTACAGTCGATACAATAAAAATCAATCATTATTTTCATGTTACCACCGATAAATGGCTGATATTAAAATTATATTTTGTCTAAATAAATGGAAAATAAAACAATAAAAACTAAAATCAGTAATTTGAATGTTACAAGTAAATTTAGATATCACAACAGTAATGTCTACAGCATTAAACTGGTTGTTATTTTGAGATTTGCTTGTAATGTAAAATTTATTTTTCAAAGTTGTAAAAAAACAAAGATGATTGAAGCATGTTTTACAATAAATTACTATTTCAGTTTAATTCAATGTGTTACTTGCCATTTCTTTGTAATTCTTTGTGAAATTTCAGAGTGAAAATTGTTTATATATTATTGTCAGACTCTGTTCCATGTTTTGTGTGTGTCTTGCTCCCCATGTGCCTTCCTATGCCCTTATTTAGTTGATTTCTTCCCAGGTGTTTCCCATGTTTAATTTCCATTGATCCCAGGTGTGTCTCGTCAGCCCCTCCTCCTGTGTGTATAAAAAGTGTTCCCAGTCCCTAGTTCTCTGTCCGCTGTTGTACGTCTTCCTGTGAACGTCTTCCTGTGTTAATCTCCCTTGGTTCCTTGGTGCAAATAAAGTCCTGTTAAAAGTATTCTCCAGCGTCTCCTCGTCCCTCGTGTGTGTGACATCGTGACAATTATATTACCACATTAAATATAAAACACTGTTTACCTTCAACAAGAAATCTAGCCTAATATTTTAATACCTCATATCCAAATCTCATTAAGTTTATGTTCTTAAACATTAAGCTTTTTTACTCTGACTAAAATAACAACATAACATAATAAAAACAAAAATATAATAAGCTCATTTTAACAAACTTTTTTCAAATTTTTGTCAAATCTTTTTGTCAAACAAAAATCTGTCAAAGTTTTAACTCCGAAAAAAATAGACAATTTGATCTTATGTTTTGCAAAATCTGTAGAGATGCACCGATTGCAATTTTCTTGGCCGATTCCGATTTCCGATTTTTTTTGTTAGTGTGATCTGCCGATACCGATTTTTGCCGATTCCGATTTTCTTTCTAAGAACTATAATTGACAGCATATACAAACAAAAATCTACTTTTCTTCAACGCAAAGTTTTATTTTCATAAAAAAAACACAAGTAAAAAGTCAGTAATAAAATAAGAACAAATAAAAAAAATTGCAAACAACAGCACAAATAAATGCAATAGAATAAAGAGAGCTATGAAAGTTTTTCAGGTTAAGTAAGTTTTTATTCAGGTAAGAAATACTACAGAAATTAAAGTAATCAAATGTAAAATAACACCAGTGTTATTTTACATTTGATTACTTTAATTTCTGTAGTATTTCTTAACTGAATAAAAACTTACTTAACCTGAAAAACTTAGTTTCATAGCTCTCTTTATTCTATTGCATTTATTTGT